CGTTAGTAGGGCAGTCATTGGTTCAGGAATATCCCTGCCCAATTCCGCCCCCCTCCCCCACCCCCACCCCAAAAAGAAAAATAACCCATGGAACAGCCTACCCGCCGAAGCCGTAAATCCCAAAACTCTGGTACCAATAAAGTACAGCTGGACAAGATCATCACGCCAAATGAGGGAACCTTCGACAAACCGCCGGCTTCCTGTCCTCGTCGAGGCCACTACTGTTAGTGGCTCTCAGGTAAACTATCACTTATGCAAGGATGCTTTCGGTAATTGGACGGACTCGATACATGTGCTATACCAGGTGTAGGACCCTGTCGGAAAATCCGACACCATTTAATATATCATACAGATAATAGCTGTGTTGTATAAACAAGTTACCCATAGAAAACGTAACTTGTAGTGGAATTACCGTTTAAAGAAAACGGGATATCATCACCACATACTATTATAATTCACCACCTATTATGGTGGGAATTATTCTTAAATACATTAGTCTTTGGACTTTACCATCATAAAACATCTCATATAAATTAACTTAATTATCAATATTAAAGTAGAGTAAATGTGACCCTTCTATCACTTTCTGAAATCTGGACAATGTAAGCCAGGCGTCAGTGAGGGAGGAAGGGGGTAGCCATTGTTGTGTCACATCCGAGACGCGTGGAGCAAATTCGGCTCCTATCATATCTGGACAATGTCGGCCAGGCGTCAATAGTATGGAGTGTTAGACGCAGCCATTGTTGAGACTAGACCAGAGGCTCACACGGGAGCAAATTCGGCTCCTGTTAATTTACTTGGACGTAGTGTTATGGAAACCAGAAGTGTACCATTATCAACACGCTGTCTACAAATCAAGTTAAGTGTTCTTTCCGAAACCCATTATCTATCATTAGTGGCCATTAATGTCATTATATAGGGTGATCCAGTTAGAGCACGACATAGCCTCAAACTAAAGGTAATTAAGCCAGGTCTTTATTGTTCCATGTATAGTGTTTTCTCTGATATAGCTTGTCATATATAGAACCTGGCTTCACAGTTAGCGCCCTTTTGACAGGTCAAGACGAGGAAGCAAGATTTTGTGCACCAGTTACTGGGTGATGGAAGCTACCTCAAAGAGGATAATTTGGTGTCTACACCCTAGTTATACCTGGTGTACTAACCTGCTGTACTATAAGATAAGGAACCTTTTCAATGTATGTAGTCTATTACTGTAGTTAGATTGGCTGCATATATATAAACTAATAAACCCCCCCTAATGTGTAGAGGATCGATTTGTGAGATTAAGAGATTATTGCAGAAATACAGTCCACTTATCATTATACAAATTGCTATCGAAGTATATAAATTAACGTAAATATAAATTCATATAAATTAAATAAATATAAATCTCACAGGTCGGTTCCCACAGACCCCACACATGTGCCATAACAGGTGTAGGACCCCACACATGTGCCATACCAGGTGTAGGACCCCACACATGTGCTATACAAGGTCTAGGACCCCACACATGTGCTATACAAGGGCTAGGACCCCACACATGTGCTATACAAGGTCTAGGACCCCACACATGTGTTATACCAGGTGTAGGACCCCACACATGTGCTACACCAGGTCTAGGACCCCACACATGTGCTATACCAGGTGTAGGACCCCATACATGTGCTATACCAGGTCTAGGACCCCACACATGTGTTATACCAGGTGTAGGACCCCACACATGTGCTATACCAGGTGTAGAACCCCACACATGTGCTATACCAGGTGTAGGACCCCACACATGTGCTATATCAGGTGTAGGACCCCACACATGTGCTATATCAGGTGTAGGACCCCACACATGTGCTACACCAGGTCTAGGACCCCACACATGTGCTATACCAGGTGTAGGACCCCATACATGTGCTATACCAGGTCTAGGACCCCACACATGTGTTATACCAGGTGTAGGACCCCACACATGTGCTATACCAGGTGTAGAACCCCACACATGTGCTATACCAGGTGTAGGACCCCACACATGTGCTATATCAGGTGTAGGACCCCACACATGTGCTATATCAGGTGTAGGACCCCACACATGTGCTATACCAGGTGTAGGACCCCACACATGTGCTATACCAGGTGTAGGACCCCACACATGTGCTATACCAGGTGTAGGACCCCACACATGTACTATACCAGGTCTAGGACCCCACACATGTGTTATACCAGGTGTAGGACCCCACACATGTGCTATACCAGGTGAAGGACCCCACACATGTGCTATACCAGGTCTAGAACCCCACACATGTGCTATACCAGGTCTAGAACCCCACACATGTGCTATACCAGGTGTAGGACCCCACACATGTGCTATACCAGGTCTAGAACCAAACACATGTGCTATATCAGGTCTAGGAATGCTTAAGGAATGAATGAATAATGAATAGGAATGAATAATTAAATTTTTATTTTTCCAAACTCAATCAAGCTAACAATACAAAAAGTAGTTTACATTTGGCCCATCACTACATACTAACATTTTGGACCACATAGTCACTCTAAGTACAGTGATTTAAAGAGGATGGGTTGAATAACATTTATGTGATCAAAAACGATTTATTAACTAAAGTAAATAACCTAATTTAACTTTAGTTTGATCCAGCGTCTGCAATATCAAGATTGGGTTAAAATCATTCAATTATGTATTTTATCACAAATTATCCGCAAATGGTGAAGTAACCTTGAATTATCTTCACCATTAATGTGAATTGCACAGAATTAAGGTCTTTTTGGCCACGAATTATTCTTATTGTTTTTATGACAAAATTTAATTATAACATTTCAAACTCAACCTTTGTGGGTCTCCCTTTGTGGGTCTCCCTTTGTGGGTCTCCCTTTGTGGGTCTCCCTTTGTGGGTCTCTCTTTGTGGGTCTCTCGTTGTGGGTCTCCCTTTGTGGGTCTCCCTTTGTGGGTCTCCCTTTGTGGGTCTCCCTTTGTGGGTCTCTCTTTGTGGGTCTCTCGTTGTGGGTCTCCCTTTGTGGGTCTCCCTTTGTGGGTCTCCCTTTGTGGGTCTCCCTTTGTGGGTCTCCCTTTGTGGGTCTCCCCTTGTGGGTCTCCCTTGTGGGTCTCTCTTGTGGGTCTCCCCTTGTGGGTCTCCCTTTGTGGGTCTCCCTTTGTGGGTCTCCCTTTGTGGGTCTCCCTTTGTGGGTCTCCCTTTGTGGGTCTCCCTTTGTGGGTCTCTCGTTGTGGGTCTCCCTTTGTGGGTCTCCCTTTGTGGGTCTCCCTTTGTGGGTCTCTCTTTGTGGGTCTCTCGTTGTGGGTCTCCCTTTGTGGGTCTCCCCTTGTGGGTCTCCCTTTGTGGGTCTCCCTTTGTGGGTCTCCCTTTGTGGGTCTCCCCTTGTGGGTCTCCCTTGTGGGTCTCTCTTGTGGGTCTCCCCTTGTGGGTCTCCCCTTGTGGGTCTCCCTTTGTGGGTCTCTCTTGTGGGTCTCCCTTTGTGGGTCTCCCTTTGTGGGTCTCCCTTTGTGGGTATCCCTTGTTGGTCTCCCTTTGTGGGTCTCCCTTTGTGGGTCTCCCTTTGTGGGTCTCCCTTTGTGGGTCTCCCTTTGTGGGTCTCTCTTGTGGGTCTCCCCTTGTGGGTCTCCCTTTGTGGGTCTCCCTTTGTGGGTCTCTCTTGTGGGTCTCTCTTGTGGGTCTCCCTTTGTGGGTCTCCCTTTGTGGGTCTCCCTTTGTGGGTCTCCCTTGTGAGTCTCCCTTTGTGGGTCTCCCTTTGTGGGCTTCCCTTTGTGGGCCTCCCTTTGTGGGTCTCCCTTTGTGGGTCTCTCTTTGTGGGTCTCTCGTTGTGGGTCTCCCTTTGTGGGTCTCCCCTTGTGGGTCTCCCTTTGTGGGTCTCCCTTTGTGGGTCTCCCCTTGTGGGTCTCCCTTGTGGGTCTCCCCTTGTGGGTCTCCCTTTGTGGGTCTCCCTTTGTGGGTCTCTCTTGTGGGTCTCCCTTTGTGGGTCTCCCTTTGTGGGTCTCCCTTTGTGGGTATCCCTTGTTGGTCTCCCTTTGTGGGTCTCCCTTTGTGGGTCTCCCTTTGTGGGTCTCTCTTGTGGGTCTCCCCTTGTGGGTCTCCCTTGTGGGTCTCCCTTTGTGGGTCTCCCATTGTGGGTCTCCCTTTGTGGGTCTCCCTTTGTGGGTCTCCCTTGTGAGTCTCCCTTTGTGGGTCTCCCTTTGTGGGCTTCCCTTTGTGGGCCTCCCTTTGTGGGTCTCCCTTTGTGGGTCTCCCTTTGTGGGCCTCCCTTTGTGGGTCTCCCTTTGTGGGCCTCCCTTTGTGGGTCTCCCTTTGTGGGTCTCTCTTGTGGGTCTCCCCTTGTGGGTCTCCCCTTGTGGGTCTCCCTTGTGGGTCTCCCTTTGTGGGCCTCCCTTTGTGGGTCTCCCTTTGTGGGTCTCCCTTTGTGGGTCTCCCTTGTGAGTCTCCCTTTGTGGGTCTCCCTTTGTGGGCTTCCCTTTGTGGGCCTCCCTTTGTGGGTCTCCCTTTGTGGGTCTCCCTTTGTGGGCCTCCCTTTGTGGGTCTCCCTTTGTGGGCCTCCCTTTGTGGGTCTCCCTTTGTGGGTCTCTCTTTGTGGGTCTCTCTTGTGGGTCTCCCTTGTGGGTCTCCCTTGTGGGTCTCCCTTTATGTTTCTGCCCTTGTGGTCCTGCCCTCGTGGTCCTGCCCCCATGGCTCAGAGTAGTGTGGGTAGCTTGGCCTCTCCCAATATCCTGGCTATTGGGTCAGGGTATTTGACAAGCGGTCGTGTATAACTTGGGTGTTCGTGTTGGTCATCATCACGGTGTGTTGGAGGCCAGGCTGGGGCACTACTGAAGAAGACGGGGGTTGGGGGGGTCTTTACACTGGTGTGGCAGCATGTTCCATTCATGTTCCCCGAGGGTAAGCTCCTTGTTGGCCCTCAAGCTCTTGCTGTGATGGCCACTGACTATCCCAAGCTCATCCTTCCAGTCCTCTCCCAGTCTCTTGTCACCTGTACGACAGTGGCGTCTACGATGGTGGCCGGGTTAGGACCTCTGCCTCTTTGTTTCTCACGTCGACACCATATGTTCTCCTCTCCGCTGGGGTCCTCCATGATGCCCCCCTCTCCGCTGGGGTCCACCATGATGCCCCCCTCTCCGCTGGGGTCCTCCATGATGCCCCCCTCTCCGCTGGGGTCCTCCATGATGCCCCCTCTCCGCTGGGGTCCTCCATGATGCCCCCCTCTCCGCTGGGGTCCTCCATGATGCCCCCCTCTCCGCTGGGGTCCTCCATGATGCCCCCCTCTCCGCTGGGGTCCTCCATGATGCCCCCCTCTCCGCTGGAGTCCTCCATGATGCCCCCCTCTCCGCTGGGGTCCACCATGATGCTCCCCTCTCCGCTGGGGTCCACCATGATGCTCCCCCTCACCGCTGGGGTCCACCATGATGCTCCCCCTCACCGCTGGGGTCCTCCATGATGCTCTCCTCTCCGCTGGGGTCCACCATGATGCCCCCCTCTCCACTGGGGTCCACCATGATGCCCCCCTCTCCGCTGGGGTCCACCATGATGCTCCGCCTCTCCGCTGGGGTCCACCATAAAGTCTCGACGGCGGCATCGCTGCTACTCTCTCCCTCCATGACAAATCTAGTCGACAGACGTTGCTTAAATATTACGACCCTGAGAATGTTAACGGCCGGGAAGTTAGTGATGACCTCCACCTCCATCAGCACCCGGTGCGCCAGCCTTACTCTCGCGATATTCCAGGCCTCGCTCCTCTCCTCAGCGTGGGAGAGGTCCCAGTGTTGGAGGGGTCCCAGTGTTGGAGAGGTCCGAGTGATGGAGAGGTCGCAGTGTTGGACGGGTCGCAGTGTTGGAGGGGTCCCAGTGTTGGAGGGGTCCCAGTGTTGGAGAAGTCCCAGTGTTGGAGAGGTCCTAGTGTTGGAGAAGTCCCAGTGTTGGAGAGGTCCCAGTGTTGGAGAGGTCCCAGCGTTGGAGAGGTCCCAGTGTTGGAGAGGTCCCAGCGTTGGAGAGGTCCCAGTGTTGGAGAAGTCCCAGTGTTGGAGAGGTCCCAGTGCTGGAGAGGTCGCAGTGTTGGACGGGTCGCAGTGTTGGAGGGGTCCCAGTGTTGGAGGGGTCCCAGTGTTGGAGAGGTCCCAGTGTTGGAGGGGTCCAATGTTGGAGAGGTCCCAGTGTTGGAGAGGTCCCAGTGTTGGAGAAGTCCCAGTGTTGGAGAGGTCCCAGTGTTGGAGAGGTCCCAGTGTTGGAGAGGTCCCAGTGTTGGAGGGGTCCCAGTGTTGGAGAGGTCCCAGTGTTGGAGAGGTCCCAGTGTTGGAGAGGTCGCAGCGTTGGAGAGGTCCCAGTGTTGGAGAGGTCCCAGTGTTGGAGAGGTCTCAGTGTTGGAGAGGTCTCAGTGTTGGAGAGGTCCCAGTGTTGGAGAGGTCCCAGTGTTGGAGAGGTCCCAGTGTTGGAGAGGTCCCAGTGTTGGAGAGGTCCCAGCGTTGGAGAGGTCCCAGCGTTGGAGAGGTCCCAGTGTTGGAGAGGTCATAGTGTTGGAGAGGTCCCAGTGTTGGAGAGGTCCCAGTGTTGGAGAGGTCCCAGTGTTGGAGAGGTCCCAGTGTTGGAGAGGTCCCAGTGTTGGAGAGGTCCCAGTGTTGGAGAGGTCCCAGTGTTGGAGAGGTCCCAGTGTTGGAGAGGTCCCAGTATTGGAGAGGTCCCAGTGTTGGAGAGGTCCCAATGTTGGAGAGGTCCCAGTGTTGGAGAGGTCCCAGTGTTGGAGAGGTCCCAGTGTTGGAGAGGTCCCAGTGTTGGAGAGGTCCCTGTGATGGAGAGGTCCCAGTGTTGGAGAGGTCCCAGTGTTGAAGAGGTCCCAGTGATGGAGAGGTCCCAGTGTTGAAGAGGTCCCAGTGATTGAGAGGTCCCAGTGTTGGAGAGGTCCCAGTGTTGAAGAGGTCCCAGTGATTGAGAGGTCCCAGTGTTGAAGAGGTCCCAGTGATTGAGAGGTCCCAGTGTTGAAGAGGTCCCAGTGATTGAGAGGTCCCAGTGCGGGTACAACAGAAGTTTGAATTGAATTGTAGTTTGGGATTATTGTTATTCCGTGGCACAGATTTCCATGATGATATTCGATATATTTTAGAGCGCAGGGACAGTCGTCCCTCTCATGGTAAACGCACTCGGCCTCTCTGAGTTATAAAGTTTACTTTGGGTTGTAAACTTGACTTTTGTGCTGCCTCCTCACATCCCTTAACAATGGTGTCGAATGTTCTGACCAAGAGTATAGTCCCGTCCCATACCAGTGTAATACTTGCTTAAACTTAGTGTATGGTGCTACAGTCTGTCACAGGGAGGTGGTGTTTTGCCTTCGTGTGGCGATTCTGGGCTACCTTGTGTAGGTTCCGGGGATCAACGGCCCCGCGGCCCGGTGTCCGACAAGGCCTCCCTGTTGGTCCTCTGGTCAACCAGGCTGTTGGACACGGCTTCTCGCAGTCTGACGTATGAATTACAGTCTGGTTGATTCATATTATTTGGAGTTGTTTGTCGAGTTTTTTCTGTGGTGATGCAATTTATCCGGCTGGAAATGGGGCTGTTAGAGTGCAACAATATTCCACTCCAGTGAGCACTAGTGTCTTGAAACGTATCATCATTGGTACAGCATCTCTTGTTTGGAAGGTTCTTGCTTTCGCTTTGATGTCCAAATGGCTTGGAAAGGATGGGGAAGGTAGAGGGATGGGGAGGTGAAATTTCTGGAAGAGGATGCGGGTATAGAGAGAGAAGAGGTTTGAAAGTTCCGTGGCCTGTTCACCATGGGTTGGGGTATGTGTGTGTCGTTTGTTTGGGTATGTTGTATGTTGGGTATGTCAGTACATTGGCTGGGTGGCTAGTGTTTGTGTCTAGCTGGTATCTGAGGGGCCCTTAGAGCCGCTGGAGCTGGCTGCAACAGATTAATCTTAGCAACATCAGGGTGGTTACTCTTCTGGTAGCACAGAAAAGGTTTGTTGTCGTTTATTTTTGTTTATTTATTTATTTTTTATTATATTTATTTATTTATTTTAGTTATTTATTTGTTTATCTTTTTTCAATTATTAGGTATAAATCGAGTCCGGGATGGGCCACTTATCTGGGTCGTCTGGCAGATCACTTAGGATTTGAGGTCTTAGGAAGGCCTGATCATGGATGTGTCTGATCACTAATTGTTGGAGAGTGATTCTTGTGGTTGTGTGTGATGGTTCATGGATCTCGTAGTCACTGGTGGTGTTTACTGCTTCGTGGGGTTCTTCGGGGTCTGGGATATACATGTGCTTCATGCTTCATGCGGTACAGCTACCTTCTGGCCAGGTAGCTGAGCCTGGTGTTCATTGGCATAATGTTGAGAGTCTCATGGATTTGGTCTATTCTTACCCTGTCCATCAGCGACAGGCCTGCCACGAAGCGAAGTGCTGTATTTTGGACCCGCAGGATCTTCAGCATGTTGGATTTGTTGGTAAGGTTCAGGGGGACGTAAGGGTACTCCAGGCTAGGCCTTATGATCATTCTGTAAAGATGGGGAGGAGAAGAGATTGATGTGGGATGGGGCCTGCCTGAATCGGAAGAGCCTCAACGGGGATCCCCTAGCCATCGTTGTCTTCTGGGAGACGTACTGGATGGAGTTGAAGTTGTATCCGAGCACTGTGTTGGAGTTTGAGATGGCTATAGGTTCACCCCTGATCCCTATCCCACCCTCATCTTAGATTGAGAAGGCCATACTTCTGGCCTTCATAGAAGGACATAAGACAGTGCTTATTTGGATCTTGTCTGGGTTAGTGGTGATTCTCCAATTTCTTTCCCAGTTAGCAGTCCTGGCTAGTTTTACTTTCGCCTTATGGATTACAGTCGCGTATATGGCTGTTTTGGTTAGATGTTATTACGTGTGTTACGTCGTCCGCAAATTGGACGATAATGGTGTCCTTGTACTCTGGTTGGGGCAGGTTATTTACGAAAATATTGAAGAGTACCGGGCTCAGGCACGACCCTTGGGGGACTCCAGCTGTTGGGGTAAAGGCTGCTGCCGCTTTCGCCTTGAAGCTGGGAGTAACTTTCCTGTTCTTTAGGAAATTTTTGATCAGCTTGAGGAGGGTCCAGTTTTGGGCTGGCAAGTCTGCTAATTTGTACACCAGGTCATTGTGCCATAGGCTGTCGAAGGCCTTGTGTACGTCTTTCGTCGCATTCAGGGCTACCTGTTTTTGCTGGTGAATTGAGCTTACAGCATCGTAGAGGATGTTTATTGCGTGCTGGGTTGACCGTTGTGCTCGAAAGCCAAACTGCTTTTCTGTGAAGAGGTTGTTGTACTCCATATAGTTGTTGAGACAGTTGGACATGATTTTTTCAAAGAACTTGCCTATTGTGTCTAAGAAGGAGATTGGACGGTAGTTGCCAGGCTGGTGGGGTCTTTCTTGGGTTTGGGAATGAATATCATCTTGGCCGATTTGAAAGCTACGGGAATGTGACCAGATGCCAGCATGGCATTGAATAAGTTGAGTAGGGACTGCGAAGATTGCCTGGAAGGAATTTGATCTGCTTTGGTCCCTGATGGTCCTGAAGCCTTATCTCGGATGCATTTAATGACTCCTTTCATCTCTACCATTGTTATGGGTCTTGTTAGAGGGTGGTCGTTTTGGAGGGTTGTCAGGTCTGTCAAGGGGGTGCTGAGTGGGGAGGCGGCGTTATCTGTGGTCCATTGGTTGACACGGTTGAAGTAAATGTTGTTGAAGGCTCTGCTGTTTGAAGCCGTGAGTGTCTTTTTCCATACTATGCCCATGAGGTCAGCCTGTTCTTGTGAGTCTTCTATTTTTGCTTGTTGTTCCTCGGCATCTTCGTCTAGGAATGTGTGTACGAGGTGGGTGAGGCTCGAGGTGGGTGAGGCTCGAGGTGGGTGAGGCTCGAGGTGGGTGAGGCTCGGGTTAACTGATCCCAAGAGCTGTCTGATCTTGTGCCAGAAGGTTCCTGGCTCCCGTTTGTATTGGTTGGCTTATCTCACAAGGGTTCCCCAAATGTGGCTCTTGTGAATCAGCGTTAGGTCTATAGTTTCCCTTCTGAGTGTTTGTAGCGCCAACGCTGGCGGCTGGTCTGTTTGGTAGTGGCTTTCGCAGGCTCGTTGATACTCATTAATTTTACCTCTGATTTCTTGGGTCGTTTAATATTAGTGGTAAGCCCTTGTGGTGGTTCTTTCACAGGAGGCCTCAGTTACGAGCTGGATGCGAGTGTGGATGGTGTTTACGGCTTGGTCAATTGCTTGGGTGGGGAGGTTGTCGAACTCACTGACGGGGTCGTCAGCGAGGAAGGTGTGATAAGCCCGGGCTCCCTTGATTTCCAGCCTGGGTCTGGGAGGTGCCACAAACCGGAAGGGGTTAGTTTGGAGGATGGTGATCACAGGGATGTGG